GTGGGGGGGCTGCCCGCCTCGCCGCAGCGCTCGCGCCCTGCCTTTCGCCCGCGTGTCACTCGGGTTGCTGTGAGGGTGGGACCAAGCGTCTCCAGGCATCGCCTGCGTCGTACAGCCCAGGACGGCAACGCCGCTGGGTCTGCACAGCAGATGAAGACGCGGCTGGTGACACGCGAGAAAAACTGTGGAGGAAGGAACAAGTCAGGAGTCGGGCTCAGGACGAAAGCCCGCCTGCCCCGGCCGGGCAAAAAATTCATTCTTATTAGCTTCTTGTCAGCTATGCATCCCCAAAGTGTTTGCAATGCAATTTTCTTTTCTTTTTCTTTTTCTTTTTCTTTTTCTTTTTCTTTTTCTTTTTCTTTTTCTTTTTCTTTTTCTTTTTCTTTTTCTTTTTAATAATGGACGCTTTCGTGATGTTCTCCAGAAACCTAGGAAGCAGAAAATGGTACAATTTTTTCGTTTACCAAAGAGAGCATTTCTTTCAGAGAAGTGAGCAAGTGAAAAACATTGATCCCTTTAACTCTGTTTCCTGTGCTTATTCTAATTTAGAGAAGATGAATTGCCATTAGTTTGTTCTGTAATAAATTTGTAGAAACAAACCGTATTTATAGGTGACCGGCTCTCACCGGTAGCGGCTCTGTTCTTCCGTCCGTGACGCACCCCCCCCAGACCAGCCCCTGACAACTTGCGAGCTTTGTGGCCTGAAGAAACTCCCCTTTTCACTTGGACCCATTTCTAAGAGATTCACATTATTTATATGGAAAAAGTGCATGATGCCATCTCCCTACTCTTTCTGCATAAATTGCATGTGTTTATTATTCATTGTAACATAGAACATTCGCTGTTTCTGTGTCACTTGTCACTAATCACTTATGCATCTGATGTGCAGATCCAGAGTCGGTTCTTAAGCATTCTTGGCTTTAAAACATAAGATATGCATGGATAAGAGTTTATCCCACCCCCAAAATAACAACTTTGATACATTTTCAAAAGGGAAAGTGCATATGTTACAGTACTCAGGAGCAGCAATAACCAAACTAGCTGAGAAGTGACATGGACTTGGGTTATTTTCTTGTTGGGTGTGTTTTTTTTTTTCTCTTTAGTATTTCATGAAAGTGTGTAAAAAATCTTAACATTTGAATGCCACACACTTCATTCTGACTGTGAGATAAAGGACATTTCTCTAGAAGAAACATACGCTCCTTGTTCCTTGTTTTGATTCTTTGTACAGCTTGTCACAATGCATTTACATTTTGTCCATACATTTGGATTTTCAGCTAGAACTGTGCTTTTGAGGAAAGGATACAAACTCTCTTCTTCAACTTTTGCAGGCAGTTCGGAGCCAGCGTTGCCTGCAGACTGGCATACGCAGCGGACGCCATTCGCACACGCGCACGTACGTGCAGTTCAGCATCAGCACCTAAGTGGCCCTCACTAAACCAGCTCATTTTTAATGGGCTTGGCCTGTCGTGTCGGCCACCCGTTATTGAAAAGAGCTTTCTTGGCATTTTTCTCTCGTAGCCCATTTCACTTTCGTCTCAGCCCGTCTCCTAACCTGTGAAAGCCAATTGCCAGAGCCCAGTGGGACAAAGGGACTTTGTCTGCCCCAGCTTTTCCCCTCACGTTTCTTCTTCTCGCGTAGTGGCTTGGCCTGCGGAGAAAGCTCCGGCCTAGATGTGCTTTGGGAAGCACTGCAAAAATGCAGCAGCTGTGGAAGCCTTGTTTTTAAGACATGGCTTTATTTGTTTAGTTCTGCCCCCTGCTTCTGGTGGAGCTGGATGAGCTGCAGTAACGCTGTGAGGTTAGGGGATCAAGAGACTCCAGGTAGATGCAGCTAGGCCACCACCTTCGTGGATGTAGCTCACTGGCCACGAGTCATCCGGACTTCATTTTGCATAACGGTTATTCGGCTGGTGAGATCCTAGCTAGCAAATGGAGAATATGAAAAAAATTGCTGTATTTTCTGGTAGTTGACCTAATCTTACTGTAATGCTGCCAACTTGGCATCCATGGCTGGTGATGGCTCCATTGAAACACTTAGAGTGTTTGAACTCCTCCATGCGTACCTTCGTAATAGAGGGCTATGCTGTATTATGTGTTAGCATGTGGACAAGTTGCATCGCAGTAATCAGCTATAGAAGACGTGTGATCTTGGCCCAGCCTTGTGGAAGGGCGACGTGCAGGACAACCAGAAGGGCACCAGCTCTGAACGGCTTGTGTGTACTACGGTAGATATGTATTTTTTTTTTTCAGCAAGCATCTGCAGCCAAAAATTATTTACTGTAGGAATGTAAAAATAAACATGGATATGAAATACTTGTCAGAGTGGCACCATCAGTGGAGGCCCAAATCCCAAAGAGCACAAGTCAGAAAACGGGGCAAACTGCATCACTGGAACATTTTCTCTTTCGCTACCGGGCTGCCGAACCAGCGGACTGCTTCCGCCTCTCCCCAGCTACCAGCACTGCAGTTTTAGCCATGGAGATCATTTTAATTGTGCCTTGTTGTTCTGCTGTCTGGTGGGAGCATGCTTAATGGTGACCGCCAAATGTAAGTCCTCCTTCCTGAGCAAAGTAAACCCTACAATAACACCAGAGAGGCAGCTTGAAATCAGGCTACAGAAAACTGATGCCAAAAATATGTCAGCTTGGAAGGTCATTAAGAATTATCCATTTGTGCATGTTCACATGCCAGCAGTACCTTACGTGAGTACCTTGGAGGGACAGATTTGTCTAATGAACATATGAATTAACAATATAAAATTGTGACTGATAAATCAAATAAGAATTTATAATTTGGCAATAAATCTAACTGGACTAGAGTTTCACTGGATGCAAACAGGAAAGGAGCGGTGAGTGTTCTCTGCTAAATCTGACTCTTGGTGGTATTTTTCCACTTTGTGACACCACAGTTTTTAGGTGCCGGATCTAAAAACAAGTCTGCTTGTACCTCAGGCAGATACAATTTGTTCTAAAGATCTTGGCTCACAGTTTACAGTAGTTATTTAAACCCCTCCACCCACATCTTTATTGATTTTTTTTTTAAACTTATCTTAGAAATTAATCTAGACTGGTACTGACATACAAATGCTCGTTTTTTCAAACTATGTAATAGTTGGTTTAATTCCAGTTAAATATTTTTTAAATTTAGGAACTCGGACAAAAGCAGCTGATGTTTAACTCTGCTCTTCTGCACTGGCGTATCTCACAAGGCAGCTCTGATTTTTTTCCCTCTGAAAGAGAGCTCGCCTCAGTAGCTTAGTGAGTGGTGGACTACAGCTCCTTCACAAAGATTTTTAAAAATCTGAAAGGGCAAGGAGTTTAGGTTTAGAAGATACAGCATCTTGTAGAGGTGGGCTTTTTTTTTTGGTCTTCTAAAGGTTTACACACTTAGTGGGCACGGTCAATTGCAATATACACATCATATTTTTAAATATGCTTTTACTGACCGGCGTACTTCATTGAGTATTGACAGTGAGCTCTCAGTGATTTCTTGCTGTCGCTCCACGTTTACGGCTTGTGTCACTTTGGGTTTGGCACAATCCTGGCTCGTGAGCGAGGACGGACTTGGTGAAACCCCGCTAGAGCTGCTACAACCGATCTCTTGTCAAGCTGCATATTAAAGACCCCGCTAATATGAAAGTGCCAAAGGAGCTGTTACGTTTCATTACTCCGTGTATGTGATTAATGCCTCCCTGTGTGCTAATGAACCAAAGTTAGCTTCATAATGGCTTTAAAACATTGGCTGATTTCGGATTTCTGTGACTGAGGGCCGGGGGCTGGCTGAGACGGCGCGGGGCCAGGCGTCCGCGCACCGGACTTGCGACACTCGCTGGGTAATTGTTGCATGCGTGCTTTTTTGCACGCTTGCATGCTTTTTAAAGTTAGAAAGCACCCCCCCCGCCCCCCGCCAAGCGTTGCTCCAAGCAAGGCAGCGTTGACCTGCTCACAGCCTTTGGGACTGGCAAAAGCCACACAGGAGTGTTTTGAGGGCGCTGGTGGCCCGTCACTGTGCAATTGCCTGATTAAGCAATGGGTAAAAAACATGCCCAAATAGGTTAATTCATAAACGTAACCAAAGCGTTTGACATGAGGCAGAGGTGGCTTTCGGCAGGGCCGGGGCCGCGGCGCGGCGAGCCCCCGGCAGGGTCCCGGGCAGGCTGCACTGCGCAGCATTACGCCACTCCCCAAACATTTAGGGAGGGGGCATGTTATTTTAATATCCTTTTTTTGTGCTTAATAGAAAAGGGGTTTGTGGTTAATTCGTTATTATCTCCGACAGCAGTTCTCGCTTCAGCTCCTCTTTCTTTAACTGCCAAGCTAGCATTTTCCTTTTTTATTGCTCCTTTCTTAGAGGTTTGCTTTGGAATATTGCCAGTTATCATTTCCCATTAGGGCAAATATTGCATCAAACTCATGATTAGGGATTTGAGGGCTTGGGAATATTATTTTCTAACATTTGTCTTTCATTTTCTGAGAGTCTTTTTCTCTCACTCTGTACACACACACGCCTATGTGTGTGTGTGCAGGCATGTATGTATGGAGAGAGAAAGGGGAAGAGAAATCGTGTGTCTGATTACACATATACATTTACATGTATACACACGTGTCTATTGATATGTAAAATTTAAAACTCTTCATTTAGACAAAGAAAACGGGAGAGATGTCGTCTCCCCATGGGAGATTTCAGAAGGTTAAAAACGGAGGAGAATAACAGATTTGTTTGTATGTTTTGGGTTAAATACTCCCATTTTGCAGTGAAGGAAGGTGTGAA